AATTGGAAACCTAAGTTAATCCTTAACGAAGGAGATTTAAAGTATACCTTGAAAAAAATAGCATATGATCCAATGCACTTTGTTGATTAGATGGTTTAATTTGCATATAAAGTAGATAGACATCTATAAGCCATACGTAGCCAAGATTAGAGTATAAACTTAATAAATATTTCTTCAATTTAATTTACATAGACATATAATAAGTTAATTAGGAAAGATATTTCTCTGAGAAACTTGACATAGACTTGTAAATAATTTAAAACTCTAAGTTAGCAACTTAGTCCATTCAAGTAAATTAAAAAAGAGATACAATATTTAGATGAAGTATTGAGGAATATCATAAGCTTACATCTAGTAGTTGATTGAATTTTTTTGAAACAAATTTACCATTAAATTTATATTAGTTTTAGTTTTAGCTTGTTAGTTTTAATTTTTCTTTTTAATAATTTTAAATTTAATTGTTTGGATACGATTAGGATATTTAATTTTAGTAATTTACAAGTAGGAATTAATTCAATTCTCCATAGGAATGAATCCTACTTTTCACTATATTGCTTGTTTCAATGATAAATGCACTTACGTCAATAATCCAACAACAATAGTTCCATCAAACCCCATGTGTTGAAGATGATTGGACTCATCGAGAGACTTGGACAATTGGGATTAGCGATGGATCATGAGCTGACTATAGACTTCGTTATACAATCTCTTCCTAACAACTTCAGTCAGTTCATGTTGAACTTTCATATGAATCAATTGAAAACCATTTTTCTCAAACTTCTGAACATGTTGGACACAGTAGAGAAGTCCATCAGAAAAGATAAGGGATCATTGCTTCTTGTTTCTTTCTAAAGGCTTATACAAAACAGCAAAAAAAAAAGAAAGCTCAAAAGGAGAAAAAGGTAAAATTCCAAAATAAAAAGAGAAAAATGTGTCAAATAGGACAAAGAAAAGGATATTTGCCATCATTGTGGCAAACCTAGTCATCAGAGGAGAAATTGCAAAGGTTACATAGCTATTGTGAGAAAGAAAAGGAAGCTAATTAAAGTTTCTAATTCAAGTATTATTTGTTAAGTAACTCAACTTTATATTTTAAAGGTATATGATACCTTAAAATTAGTTCTCATATGTATGACATATTGTAGGGGCCAAGGATAAAGATGAGCAGTAGCTTAGTTGAGGAAGTGACCTCATGGATAAACTACATAGAGCATTGGATGCTACATTGGGTGGTTGCACTCTTATCTATTTTAATAGGTTGGATAATTTATTGAAATGTTTTTGAAACATTATTTTATTATTGCCATATGGATGGCTGCTGAAACATTTATGTTTAACATTGGATGAGAAAAAGTTCTATGTTTCATGCTTAAATAATTATTTAGAATAATTATATCAATTTAATTATCCACATTTCATATTTATTCTTGCAATTATACTTGATCAATTATGAATTGCAAATAATATCAAATAAGATTGATTAAAAATTCATATTAGTCGACAAATTAAGTGACCATACTTGGATAAGATCTCAATTAAAGGTCATAAGAATTTATGATTAATTGATCAAAAGAATGAATTTAGATTCATATAAAATGGAACTTTCTTTTGAGTAGAAAATAGAGTTGTTTATTCAAAAGAGAAAGCAAATTCATATAATGATATGATTTGGTCCATACTTCTCTTATATATATACCACTATAACACTCTAAACTAATACGATTCTAAGCATACATTGAGATCTATGTATATAACATCATGGAATATTCAAAAGAGTTTGAATATTACTCTCACAAATGATATTGCATATAGTGGGACCATGATGACACTAAGAAAAGAATTTTCTTTAGTATTACTTAGTTACATTGGAATCTAACACTTCAAGTTTTGCATAAGTATATGAGAACTCCATGGATTTAATAAGATACATTGAAGATGTATTATTCATATTGGATGAATCTACTACATATAAATTATCATTGAAGTTCTACACTTTAAAAGGGAACCCAAAAGGGTTGGATTTATTGAAATATACAATGTATTTATCGAAATGTACAATGTATTTATCTCATACATTTAAAGAGGTTAGTAGGAGTGAATCTAATTCTTTAATGATACAATTGCATAGAACGTAATGTGTATACAAAGAAACTAAAAATATTATGGAACGGATGGCATAACTTGAAGTGACATAAGCATATAATGCATACAATATAGTCTAGTAAGAATGGTTCCAAGGAGCAAAAGGGACTATACATGTACATAAATAAAGTCATAGACATCCTATTAAAAAGGGCTCAAATAAAAAGATATTTAGATCATTAGTTCATGGAACTAATAAAAGGTTATAAACATTGGTAATGTAACAATGGAGTCATACTAATATAACTTGGGTCTCATTGGATCTAAATATAGTAATATGATTGCTAGACATATAAAAGCAATTAACCATATTTAAAGGCATAAGCAAGTCTTTTTAGAGACATAATTGCTAGATGGATTGGATCCACATACAATGAGGTAGCAATTGGTTTTGAGCTAGTGGAAGAATGTTAGAATAAGCCTTATAGTGAATTGAGATTAGTCAAGACTTAGTTCCAATCATGCAATCATATCATTTACATTGAATGATTAGAGGTTTTCATTCATCAATAAGACATCAATTATAAAAGTTATAAGTCTATTGGATGAAGTCCATGAGATTAATATGCCTTGCAAGGAAATTGTAATGGGCTACAATTATGAATTCCCTATGCATCAAAGCATAATCTCTAAATGTTCATGGTCAATGTAGCATTGAGACTAAACATCAATGACACTTAAAGCTAGTGCATTCTATGTTCCTTAAGAAATAAGTAACCAATCTCATAGGTTGAAGTATAGAGATAATTGAACTAGAATGTAAGTGCTTGTTCCATGAACAAGTTTACTAAACATGACCCACCATGAAAAATGCATTTGGTATCTCACTCTAGTGTCTATGCAAATATTTTTCATGTGTCAGTCATGTAAATACTCTTTAAACAAAATTGTGTGGTTCGGATGTGTCACATTTGACCACATGGTCTTAGAGGCAAGGTTAGGTGAAATACATATGATGCATTTAGACAATGAGTTGTCACCTAACTGATCTAGGAGTTGCATGTGGATGCAATTGACAAGCTATGTTATCTACCTAATTAGGCTTATTGTGATTTGTTGAGTCACTCAAGGTTGTAATAATTTGAAAGGGGTCCTAACTCACTAGAAATACCTAGTAAAGATTTCTGTATAATAGTAAGGGCTATTATTAAAAAAAATTAGTGGGAGAATCAATGTAAGATTTAATACCTCGTCTTAAATTGATTTATAACATGAAAGGTTAATACAAATACTTTTTCTATATTTATAGGTTGTTAGAATGGGTATAATAATAACTGCTACTTTACTTGGCATACTTGATGCCATCAGCCTAAAATGTTTAGACTGGTGTATCACTTTAAGAAAAGCTCTCAATAAATGGAAAGGTGAAATCTTGACAAGTAAAGAGATAACTTTAAATATGATTGAGCTTAATTTTTCTATTACCAATCCTAAATCTTAGATAATAGATTCAGGATGTGGATCGCATTTATCTACTAACATAAAAGCTTTAAAGGATAGTAGAAGGCTTGGTAAAAATGAGGTAGTGGTAAAAGTGGGCAACGGTGCAAAAATTGTAGCAATTGCCGTTGAGACTTGTGATCTTATTTTATCATCGGGCTTAATGCTGGAGCTAAAAGAGTGCTATTATGTACCAACATTAACTAGAAACGTCATTTCGATTTCATATCTAGCTAAGAATGATGATTTCGAATTTAGTATGAAGGGTAATTATTGCATTATCATTCTAAATGATATATTTTATAGATCCGTAACATGTCATGGAAGACTTTATGTTATGGCTTTGGATAGCCCAATGCTCAATATAGATGTCAAGA